CACACACACACACACACACACACACACACACACACACACACACACACCTAACATGGGAAACACAGTATTACACACCAAGAATACAGCCTAGAACAGAGTTCTGCAAGCCGTGAGAAAAGAAAACTAGGCCAAGACTTTTAAAAGAATTGTCCAAGCAAAGCAAGGATGCAGAGTTTTCTGGTCACAAACACTCAAAGTTCAGTGAGGCTGCAGCTGAAACTTTCATGTTTTCTCATCACAGTTTTGACTCAACTGGTCTCAAACAGTCACAGTCTGGTGGCTTTAAAGACTCAAGCTGTCTTAAGACTCAATAATCAACCAGTTAAAAGGCATCAGTAATTTCTGTGGAAACAGGTTTTATTTACCGGACACATGAGCGACACTCTGAGACTTGTTGTAGCGACCTCACTGTCTGGATCTGCGGTCAGCTTCTCTTTGACTGCAACAGAAAGGTTTACTCAGACAAACCCACACTTCAATCAGTTTTACTGACAAAACAAATGAAGTTCACATTACTCAGAGCTCTGGAGTGGTCTGGGTTCCTGATACCCTTCATCCTGAGCCTCTGCAGGAGTAGAGGTGAAGTCAGCTGTCTCACCAGGTACACAGACAGGGAATAGGTCTGAAAARTAAATCAGATTTTATTGTGTGTTGAAGAGATCTGACAGCAAAGTAATCCTTGTGACTACAGCTGCTTACAGCAGCATCAACATGAAGACAATTTTGTAAATGATTAACTGAATGTTTGATGCAGTTTTGTATTTTATACTTTGCGGTCATAAGACTAAAACAGATAAAGAGTTGGTGTGTTATCATGTGTTCTTTCTGTCTGTATAAACAGAAGCTGGTCACGTTCTGATGTCTGACCTAAATGTTACCACCTTCAGGGGTGGAACCAGGAAGAGCCTGAAGAGGAATCATTAGTCATCTGCTGCCTCGTATCAAACAAAACAAACTGAATTAACTCACTTTAGTGATTCTGAATGGGTCAGTATTTTTAACTAGCTACACAGATGCTGTTCTGTGTCATTTTTAATATTCCCTCAGCAATAAGTCTGTAGATTAATCCTCTGCTGCTCTCTGGCTGTGCGTCATATCAAAAAAAAAAAAAAAAAAACGAAATTAGCTCATTATAGTGAACCTGTGGCTCAATATGGTTTAAACTAACTACAAAGTTGCTGTTTCTCTATGGAGGACCAAACCTATCATTATTGGAAATAAATGTATAAATATATAACTGGCGTATTAAAATAAATTATAGGCTCCATAGTATGGAGGACCAAACCTATCATTATTGGAAATAAATGTATAAATATATAACTGGCGTATTAAAATAAATTATAGGCTCCATAGTATGGAGGACCAAACCTATCATTATTGGAAATAAATGTATAAATATATAACTGGCGTATTAAAATAAATTATAGGCTCC